ACCGAGAGATGAAGCTGTTCGAGGCTAAACTGGTGAGGCACATCTGACACCAGCCAATCAGAGGACAGGATTTTAGAAGGGATAGTACTTTTCAAGCTGCCACCTTTAGCCTAGCGGTGGTGACGTGAAGTCATGTGACCGTGCTGTAGTTCCTTTATAGCCCAACATTAGCCACCTTTAGCTTAGCGGTGGTGACGTGAGGTCATGTGACCGTGCTGTAGTTCCTTCATAGCCCAACATTAGCCTCCTTTAGCTTAGTGGTGGTGACGTGAATTCATGTGACCGTGCTGTAGTTCCTTCATAGCCCAACATTAGCCTCCTTTAGCTTAGTGGTGGTGACGTGAAGTCATGTGACCGTGCTGTAGTTCCTTTATAGCCCAACATTAGCCACCTTTAGCTTAGCGGTGGTGACCTGAAGTCATGTGACCGTGCTGTAGTTCCTTTATAGCCCAAAATTTGTTTTGAATCCAAAATCCAATTAAAAAAATCCCATTCGATTTTTGTCACCTCACATTAACTAAAACTGATTTATCATGATGTCGCATTATCATAAAAAAATATAGGTCTTAAAACCAAACTGAATTATTATCTCCTACCTTTGACAGCCTTGATATAAAGTCATTTACAAATAAAGCTGCAGTAAAGTGAAAACAGAGGTCGAGATGGATAACAGAGACAGAGCAGAAGAAACGCTGAGTCAGCGTCACACTGATGCTCATGTTTCGGGGGTGCCCTCTGAACACTGTGACGCTGCACATTTCACATTTCATTTAAAGTGCTTTGTCTATCTCTAATTCTGCTTTGAGTAGAGACACTACATGCTGATATACACCTGAACATCAGCAAGAGAGGACTCTTTAAAGTAGAGACACTACACACTGATATACACCTGAACATCAGCAGGAGAGTACTCTTTAAAGTAGAGACACTACACACTGATATACACCTGAACATCAGCAGGAGAGGACTCTTTAAAGTAGAGACACTACATACTGATATACACCTGAACATCAGCAGGAGAGGACTCTTTAAAGTAGAGACACTACATACTGATATACACCTGAACATCAGCAGGAGAGGACTCTTTAAAGTAGAGACACTACATACTGATATACACCTGAACATCAGCAGGAGAGGACTCTTTAAAGTAGAGACAACTACATACTGATATACACCTGAACATCAAGCAGGAGAGGACTCTTTAAAGTAGAGACACTACATACTGATATACACTGAACATCAGCAGGAGAGGACTCTTTAAAGTAGAGGACACTACATACTGATATACAACCTGAACATCAGCAGGAGAGGACTCTTTAAAGTAGAGACACTACATACTGAATATACACCTGAACATCAGCAGGAGAGGGACTCTTTAAAGTAGAGACACTACATACTGATATACACCTGAACATCAGCAGGAGAGGGACTCTTTAAAGTAGAGACACTACATACTGATATACACCCTGAACATCAGCAGGAGAGGACTCTTTAAAGTAGAGACACTACATACTGATATACACCTGAACAGCAGCAGGAGAGGACTCTTTAAAGTAGAGACACTACATACTGATATACACCTGAACATCAGCAGGAGAGGACTCTTTAAAGTAGTAGAGACACTACATACTGATACACACCTGAACATCAGCAGGAGAGGACTCTTTAAAGTAGAGACACTACATACTGATACACACCTGAACATCAGCAGGAGAGGACTCTTTAAAGTAGAGACACTACATACTGATATACACCTGAACATCAGCAGGAGAGGACTCTTTAAAGTAGAGACACTACATACTGATATACACCTGAACATCAGCAGGAGAGGACTCTTTAAAGTAGAGACACTACATACTGATACACACCTGAACATCAGCAGGAGAGGACTCTTTAAAGTAGAGACACTACATACTGATATACACCTGAACATCAGCAGGAGAGGACTCTTTAAAGTAGAGACACTACATACTGATATACACCTGAACATCAGCAGGAGAGGACTCTTTAAAGTAGAGACACTACATACTGATATACACCTGAACATCAGCAGGAGAGGACTCTTTAAAGTAGAGACACTACATACTGATATACACCTGAACATCAGCAGGAGAGGACTCTTTAAAGTAGAGACACTACATACTGATATACACCTGAACATCAGCAGGAGAGGACTCTTTAAAGTAGAGACACTACATACTGATATACACCTGAACATCAGCAGGAGAGGACTCTTTAAAGTAGAGACACTACATACTGATATACACCTGAACATCAGCAGGAGAGGACTCTTTAAAGTAGAGACACTACATACTGATATACACCTGAACATCAGCAGGAGAGGACTCTTTAAAGTAGAGACACTACATACTGATATACACCTGAACATCAGCAGGAGAGGACTCTTTAAAGTAGAGACACTACTGATACACCTGACATCAGCAGGAGAGGACTCCGTTAAAGTAGAGACTACACTGATATACACCTGAACATCAGCAGGAGAGGACTCTTTAAAGTAGAGACACTACATACTGATATACACCTGAACATCAGCAGGAGAGGACTCTTTAAAGTAGAGACACTACATACTGATATACACCTGAACATCAGCAGGAGAGGACTCTTTAAAGTAGAGACACTACATACTGATATACACCTGAACATCAGCAGGAGAGGACTCTTTAAAGTAGAGACACTACATACTGATATACACCTGAACATCAGCAGGAGAGGACTCTTTAAAGTAGAGACACTACATACTGATATACACCTGAACATCAGCAGGAGAGGACTCTTTAAAGTAGAGACACTACATACTGATATACACCTGAACATCAGCAGGAGAGGACTCTTTAAAGTAGAGACACTACATACTGATATACACCTGAACATCAGCAGGAGAGGACTCTTTAAAGTAGAGACACTACATACTGATATACACCTGAACATCAGCAGGAGAGGACTCTTTAAAGTAGAGACACTACATACTGATATACACCTGAACATCAGCAGGAGAGGACTCTTTAAAGTAGAGACACTACATACTGATATACACCTGAACATCAGCAGGAGAGGACTCTTTAAAGTAGAGACACTACATACTGATATACACCTGAACATCAGCAGGAGAGGACTCTTTAAAGTAGAGACACTACATACTGATATACACCTGAACATCAGCAGGAGAGGACTCTTTAAAGTAGAGACACTACATACTGATATACACCTGAACATCAGCAGGAGAGGACTCTTTAAAGTAGAGACACTACATACTGATATACACCTGAACATCAGCAGGAGAGGACTCTTTAAAGTAGAGACACTACATACTGATATACACCTGAACATCAGCAGGAGAGGACTCTTTAAAGTAGAGACACTACATACTGATATACACCTGAACATCAGCAGGAGAGGACTCTTTAAAGTAGAGACACTACATACTGATATACACCTGAACATCAGCAGGAGAGGACTCTTTAAAGTAGAGACACTACATACTGATATACACCTGAACATCAGCAGGAGAGGACTCTTTAAAGTAGAGACACTACATACTGATATACACCTGAACATCAGCAGGAGAGGACTCTTTAAAGTAGAGACACTACATACTGATATACACCTGAACATCAGCAGGAGAGGACTCTTTAAAGTAGAGACACTACATACTGATATACACCTGAACATCAGCAGGAGAGGACTCTTTAAAGTAGAGACACTACATACTGATATACACCTGAACATCAGCAGGAGAGGACTCTTTAAAGTAGAGACACTACATACTGATATACACCTGAACATCAGCAGGAGAGGACTCTTTAAAGTAGAGACACTACATACTGATATACACCTGAACATCAGCAGGAGAGGACTCTTTAAAGTAGAGACACTACATACTGATATACACCTGGAACATCAGCAGGAGAGGACTCTTTAAAGTAGAGACACTACATACTGATATACACCTGAACATCAGCAGGAGAGGACTCTTTAAAGTAGAGACACTACATACTGATATACACCTGAACATCAGCAGGAGAGGACTCTTTAAAGTAGAGACACTACATACTGATATACACCTGAACATCAGCAGGAGAGGACTCTTTAAAAGTAGAGACACTACATACTGATATACACCTGAACATCAGCAGGAGAGGACTCTTTAAAGTAGAGACACTACATACTGATATACACCTGAACATCAGCAGGAGAGGACTCTTTAAAGTAGAGACACTACATACTGATATACACCTGAAACATCAGCAGGAGAGGACTCTTTAAAGTAGAGACACTACATACTGATATACACCTGAACATCAGCAGGAGAGGACTCTTTAAAGTAGAGACACTACATACTGATATACACCTGAACATCAGCAGGAGAGGACTCTTTAAAGTAGAGACACTACATACTGATATACACCTGAACATCAGCAGGAGAGGACTCTTTAAAGTAGAGACACTACATACTGATATACACCTGAACATCAGCAGGAGAGGACTCTTTAAAGTAGAGACACTACATACTGATATACACCTGAACATCAGCAGGAGAGGACTCTTTAAAGTAGAGACACTACATACTGATATACACCTGAACATCAGCAGGAGAGGACTCTTTAAAGTAGAGACACTACATACTGATATACACCTGAACATCAGCAGGAGAGGACTCTTTAAAGTAGAGACACTACATACTGATATACACCTGAACAGCAGCAGGAGAGGACTCTTTAAAGTAGAGACACTACATACTGATATACACCTGAACATCAGCAGGAGAGGACTCTTTAAAGTAGAGACACTACATACTGAATATACACCTGAACATCAGCAGGAGAGGACTCTTTAAAGTAGAGACACTACATACTGATATACACCTGAACATCAGCAGGAGAGGACTCTTTAAAGTAGAGACACTACATACTGATATACACCTGAACATCAGCAGGAGAGGACTCTTTAAAGTAGAGACACTACATACTGATATACACCTGAACATCAGCAGGAGAGGACTCTTTAAAGTAGAGACACTACATACTGATATACACCTGAACATCAGCAGGAGAGGACTCTTTAAAGTAGAGACACTACATACTGATATACACCTGAACATCAGCAGGAGAGGACTCTTTAAAGTAGAGACACTACATACTGATATACACCTGAACATCAGCAGGAGAGGACTCTTTAAAGTAGAGACACTACATACTGATATACACCTGAACATCAGCAGGAGAGGACTCTTTTAAAGTAGAGACACTACATACTGATATACACCTGAACATCAGCAGGAGAGGAACTCTTTAAAGTAGAGACACTACATACTGATATACACCTGAACATCAGCAGGAGAGGACTCTTTAAAGTAGAGACACTACATACTGATATACACCTGAACATCAGCAGGAGAGGACTCTTTAAAGTAGAGACACTACATACTGATATACACCTGAACATCAGCAGGAGAGGACTCTTTAAAGTAGAGACACTACATACTGATATACACCTGAACATCAGCAGGAGAGGACTCTTTAAAGTAGAGACACTACATACTGATATACACCTGAACATCAGCAGGAGAGGACTCTTTAAAGTAGAGACACTACATACTGATATACACCTGAACATCAGCAGGAGAGGACTCTTTAAAGTAGAGACACTACATACTGATATACACCTGAACATCAGCAGGAGAGGACTCTTTAAAGTAGAGACACTACATACTGATATACACCTGAACATCAGCAGGAGAGGACTCTTTAAAGTAGAGACACTACATACTGATATACACCTGAACATCAGCAGGAGAGGACTCTTTAAAGTAGAGACACTACATACTGATATACACCTGAACATCAGCAGGAGAGGACTCTTTAAAGTAGAGACACTACATACTGATATACACCTGAACATCAGCAGGAGAGGACTCTTTAAAGTAGAGACACTACATACTGATATACACCTGAACATCAGCAGGAGAGGACTCTTTAAAGTAGAGACACTACATACTGATATACACCTGAACATCAGCAGGAGAGGACTCTTTAAAGTAGAGACACTACATACTGATATACACCTGAACATCAGCAGGAGAGGACTCTTTAAAGTAGAGACACTACATACTGATATACACCTGAACATCAGCAGGAGAGGACTCTTTAAAGTAGAGACACTACATACTGATATACACCTGAACATCAGCAGGAGAGGACTCTTTAAAGTAGAGACACTACATACTGATATAACCTGAACATCAGCAGGAGAGGACTCTTTAAAATAGAGACACTACATACTGATATACACCTGAACATCAGCAGGAGAGGACTCTTTAAAGTAGAGACACTACATACTGATATACACCTGAACATCAGCAGGAGAGGACTCTTTAAAGTAGAGACACTACATACTGATATACACCTGAACATCAGCAGGAGAGGACTCTTTAAAGTAGAGACACTACATACTGATATACACCTGAACATCAGCAGGAGAGGACTCTTTAAAGTAGAGACACTACATACTGATATACACCTGAACATCAGCAGGAGAGGACTCTTTAAAGTAGAGACACTACATACTGATATACACCTGAACATCAGCAGGAGAGGACTCTTTAAAGTAGAGACACTACATACTGATATACACCTGAACATCAGCAGGAGAGGACTCTTTAAAGTAGAGACACTACATACTGATATACACCTGAACATCAGCAGGAGAGGACTCTTTAAAGTAGAGACACTACATACTGATATACACCTGAACATCAGCAGGAGAGGACTCTTTAAAGTAGAGACACTACATACTGATATACACCTGAACATCAGCAGGAGAGGACTCTTTAAAGTAGAGACACTACATACTGATATACAACCTGAACATCAGCAGGAGAGGACTCTTTAAAGTAGAGACACTACATACTGATATACACCTGAACATCAGCAGGAGAGGACTCTTTAAAGTAGAGACCTACATACTGATATACACCTGAACATCAGCAGGAGAGGACTCTTTAAAGTAGAGACACCTACTGATATACACCTGACAGCCAGGAGAGGACTCTTTAAAGTAGAGACACTACATACTGATATACACCTGAACATCAGCAGGAGAGGACTCTTTAAAGTAGAGACACTACATACTGATATACACCTGAACATCAGCAGGAGAGGACTCTTTAAAGTAGAGACACTACATACTGATATATACCTGAACATCAGCAGGAGAGGACTCTTTAAAGTAGAGACACTACATACTGATATACACCTGAACATCAGCAGGAGAGGACTCTTTAAAGTAGAGACACTACATACTGATATACACCTGAACATCAGCAGGAGAGGACTCTTTAAAGTAGAGGACACTACATACTGATATACACCTGAACATCAGCAGGAGAGGACTCTTTAAAGTAGAGACACTACATACTGATATACACCTGAACATCAGCAGGAGAGGACTCTTTAAAGTAGAGACACTACATACTGATATACACCTGAACATCAGCAGGAGAGGACTCTTTAAAGTAGAGACACTACATACTGATATACACCTGAACATCAGCAGGAGAGGACTCTTTAAAGTAGAGACACTACATACTGATATACACCTGAACATCAGCAGGAGAAGACTCTTGATCTCTTAGAACATTTATTGATCATTTCATTGTCTCTGTTTTCCTCAGAAAGTGAAGACGGCTCGTTACGAGATCGATCCGAACCCTGGCTTCCTGTCTCAGCTGCAGAGATACGAGCAGGTGCTGAAAATGAGACGAGTACAGAAAGAGAGACAGAAAGACAGACAGAAAGAGAGACAGGTGGAGAGACAGACTGACTGACTGATTGACAGACAGACAACAATCAAACAGACAGAGACTTCCTGTCTGTGTCTCCGGTTGTGAATCTGACTGATTCAATCTCTGGTTTTTACGATGGTGTATTTGGGCCATTGTAAGTTTAAACATTTTTTTTTATTAAGAGCTGGATAAATGGATTAACAATCTGGAAACAAATCTGAATTTTCTTAGATTAAAGTCATATGAGTCATGAGTTTAATCTCCAAATTGTTTTAGTTCTATTTTGAAAAATAAGCAATTTTATTTCAGAGATTTTCCAAAATGAACCTTTTTAATGTAAGAAAGTTTCTGAGTTACTTGTCTGTACATTTAAACTTTATTCTCACTAATGCTGTGATTTTTGATTTAATTTTTTACCAACAATGGCCTGAATACACGTCGTCAAATGTGATGGAAAGGTCTAAGCGGTTTATTTTATTTAAAGCAGATAAAAAGGTCCAGAGTTTTAGTGTTGTTCAATCACACCAACAAAAAGAGCAGAGAATTATGCAAACAATAAAATAAATAAAACCAGAGTGAAATAAATAGGATTAAATAAATACAAATAGAGACTATAACGTTAGGGCTGTGCAAAACCTTAATACACATTATACCTGTTATTTAGATTAAAGTAGTTTACTCTACAGTTTGAGTGCTATTAGTCAAACAGGTAGACCTTACCTGTGGTAAGAGCTTTCTCTTTTTTTAATAAGGGCTAATTGTTATTCTAATCAACTATAGGTTTATTTTTTCAATATCAAAAAGCAACGAAAGGCTTTAATCATTAAGAAATGCAGCTTATTAAGTCAAGATAGGTGTTTCCTCGTTATTTTACTTTCATTAAAACATCCTCAAAGTGTCTTTAAGGATTTTATTTTTGTATAAACCTAAAAGTTGCCCGTACCTCTAAAACAGTATGGGTGCAGTTCCACCTTCTACCTCTAGGTGGAGACACTTACAGATCATTTTTTCCATATTTTAACATTTGTATTCTTATGGAAGCACACACACACCTCCTCCGGCAGGACGTGTGTCTGTGTGATCAGTGCTGTTGAAGAGTTATTGATCAGCTGAAGCACGATACATAACAAACAACAGCAAGAGCCACTCAGAGAAGCAAAACAACAGGAAGTCTCTGAAGGTTTCTCATTTCTCTAATTCCCCTCCTCGACTCCTATCCTTGTGTCTTAGTCGGAATCAAGGAGGGGACCCGAGGATTCGAGGAGCCGAGGAGGGGAAATTAGAGGAATGAGAAACTTTTTGGTAGACGTCTTATGCACTCTTATTGAGCTTCTTCTGGTGGTTGTTTTGCATCTGTTTGTTTGTTTATATTTTGCATTAGCTTTTGGCAGTGGCGAGCCGTGACTTGTGACCTGGGCCCTCTGACCCCCCCCCCCCCCCCCTTCCATCGAAACAAAAACAAAAAAAAGAGTTATTACGTCACAGCGTATACTTCAGCGGAATATCAAAACGACCCGGGGTGCAAAACGCATCAATGACAGCGACCCTCTACCACACAGAACAACACCTGTAGATAACCCAATGTGTGTTCTTTGAAATTGAAAAGGATATTGCATTGTGTTTGTTACTTTTGCTGCAGTTGTATGTCTTAAGCGTAATTTGGCTTGCTTTTATTTTGAAGGCGAGTTTACGCTGTTGACAGGAAGTTGTTGTTGCTATGGAAACAAGAAAAGTTTCATAGCGGGCGGAACTTGTCATAAAGTCCGCGATAATAAAGCCCACCCATTTAGAGGGAAGATATGATTGGTCAATTGTACTGTCATTTGACATTACTCTCTCATTCAGTTGCTATAGCAACCCTCTGTGAATTCACAGCTGGACGTCCAATCAGCTCCTAGCTTCACCTCGCAGAGACGAGCTTCTTTCATTAACCCTTCACATTCCAACAGAAACTGAATAGGCAGATTCAAAGGATTTATTTCTTTGGAAATGTTATTTTAAATACAATTTAATCAAGTTATTTTTGGTAAAACTAATGACAAATATAACTAAAAACATATTTAAAGAAAAAATATAAAAAATAATTTTACTTTTTTTAATGTTTTGAAATATTCTTTTGTAGAATATCTTAGGCCCTGACGGCGTGCCACTGCCTTTTGGTTGCTTTGCATCTCTTATAAGACATCTAACTTCTCTTTGTGTTTGATTTGCTTCTGTATTTTGTTGTTTTGCATCATTTTGTTGTTGTTTTTGTTTCTCTTTCTGCACGTTGAGCTTCTTCTGGTTCTTTCTTTCTGTTCTTCTTGCTTTTATACTTCTTTGTTTACATTTTGCATTACCTTTTTTAACTTTATGTCTCTTTTTCATAGTTTTTCATCTTTAGAAATGTAACCGATACTTGTGATTTTCTTCTTCTGTATTTCGTTGTTTTGCAATAATGTATATAATGTAATATACATTTAGCATATCTTAGGATCATTACATGTGTTAAACTGTGCTTAGTGAAGAAGTCAGAAGTTAGCTCAGGTTAAGACACATTATTCTAAAGTGAAGTCGTAGCCTTTTAGCATTAAAGTAGCGACAGTATTAGCACTGCAGGAGTGCACAGAGCACGGAGACTAATATCAGATCGTAGAAGTAATCTCATCTAAAGCTCTGATTAAAGATGTTTGGATCAAAAGATAATAATACAATTGCCGCCCAGAACAATTAAAACGCTTTACTTTGGCTGTGAAAAGACTTTGCAGGGACTCCATACAAGAACACAGTGTGTGTGTGTGTGTGTGTGTGTGTGTGTGTGTGTGTGTGTGTGTGTGTGTGTGTGTGTGTGTGTGTGTGTGTGTGTGTGTGTGTGTGTGTGTGTGTCTATGGTAGTGCTGAATTAAAGCAACCATTTAAACTGGACCTGATCATAAACCATGTGAGACCTCACTATGTTAAAATGCTGTTTTGTTATTATAATCAAATCATTTCCTGTAACTCAGATCAACGCTGCGTCTCTTTGAGAATCTGCTGCTGTATCAATGTCTGAAAATTAAATAAAGTGATGTGATCAGCTTCGTCTGAGTTTCAGATTCATGTTAACGGGGCTCTTTTCCTCTCTCCTGCAGTGTGTTCTATGTTAGTGCATGTAAATGGTCTCAAAGGCTAAAATCCCTTCAGAGGGGGTTTCTCCCAGCGCCTGACACGCCTCCATTGAACTCTTTTGTTTACTTCCGGAAGTAGTGACATCACTTTGTAACACTTGCGCTTCTATTGGCTACCGCTCCAACACATTGTACGTGATAGGCTAAGGGGCGGGACATCTCTAAGCAGGTTACCCAATCACAACAGAGCAGTCCAGCTAATCAATCAGAGCAGACTGGGCTCAGAGGCCTGTACTACGAAGCAGGATGTTCTCTGAGCGGCTAACTTCAGGGAAAACTCTGGGTTTCCGGTCCTACGACGCTGGTTCTCTTTTTAGCGGCTAGATCTCCATGGTAACTTATGCTGAGCGGGACCAGGTTAGGTTGCAGGCTAAGAGATCAACTCAGTGAAAGCACCGCCTGCTGACCAATCAGAGCTCAGTGTGTGAGTTTAAAGCGATCAAGTCATATTACAGGAGAAAGGAAATACAGAAAAGCTGCCGACGCAGGAAAGACGGCCGGCAAAAATCAGCGACTGTGTGAACGTGAACATGAATAGAATATCAGCTCCATCTTCAGAGCAATCTGACTGTTATAACATTAGCGTTAAGAAAGCTTACTGAAATATCTGCCACAACATCAGTAACCGGATCAGAGTCACATTAAGTACAGTCCGCGGCATATCACTTCATAATGTATCATATATCTCCTGATCTGAGTCAGCTGAGCCGTATCTGGCCGTGCAACACTCACAGTGTCACATACTGGATGCAGAAGGATTATTTTAAGCAACACATTAAGTTGACGAAACACTGGAGTCAAATGTAATGAAAGTCAGATAGTGTCTTAGACGGGGCAGTGATATCATAAACCTGTTAATGTACGCATTCAAACACTTGTTCTGTTCCCAGCTGTGTTCACCTTGCAGGTGCAGCTCTGTGGCTTTGATCCTGGATCAAGTGTTTAAGTCATGGATGTTTAAAGTTTAACTTCTTCATATGTCTAATATTAGAGTTCACTTTTCATTCAGGAAGTATGACGCTGCGCTGTCAGTGCGCTTCTCCATGCTTGTGATTGGTCGAATGCTCCAGATACCACCCGTTTCATGTGAACACCTAACTTGATAGGTCACGGCTGGCTTGAGCGATCCACTTGATAACCCGCGTCGTAGGACCGTTTAGCGAGAGCGCGTATGTTTTGGATTAGGCCAACCGGCTAACTCAAACATATCCAGGTTAGGTTGAACCAGCTTCGTAGTACAGGCCTCTGGTTTCAGACAGAGGGTGAAAAGAGGTGCTGCAGCGCAGGCAGTAGGAGGAAAGTCACGTACAATGTGTTGGAGCGCTAGCCAAGAGGAGTGTTACATAGTGATGTCACTATGCTCCTGAAGTAAACAAAGAAGTTGAATGGACATTTTTTAGGCAGGACACTCAGGGATTTTAGCCTTTGCAGACCATTTACATGCACTAACACCATTAGAAAGCACTACGGGGGGAAGGGGGGACACCAGGACATTGTTGTGGAGAAGAAAGAAGCCGAAGCTTCTTCAAGCAGAATCAGTTAATTTATAAAGTGTTACATCGCTGTTTGTTTACCCTGCTGATGGGCTGAGGGTCATCTCGTTGTTGTTGTTGTTGTTGTCTCAAAGTGATGTCACTAAGTAAACAAAGGAGTCAAATGGACGTTTGGAGGCAGGAAACTCGTGTTACGTGCACCAATAGAAAAGACACCAGGAAATTGTTGGGGTGAAGAAAGAAGCCGGAGCTTTATTTAGAACGTGTGTTACATGGCTGTTTGTTTAACCTGCTGATGGTTTGAGGGTCATCTCAGACGTTGTTGTTGTTGTTGTTGTTATTGGGGGTGCTCTCGGACGTTGTTGTTGTTGTTGTTGTTTGGGGGTCTCAGTGTACTCGATCCCAGTCGTCCCTGATGCCCTGGATCCACTGGTTATAATTGGACACCTTGGTGTAGATGCCCAGTTTGTCCTGGCGTCCGCAGCCCTCTCCCCAGGACACGAGGCCCAGCAGGAACCACGTGTCCCGGTACAGCGTCACCATGGGGCCCCCGCTGTCCCCCTCACAGGCGTCCTGCCTCTGGCCCAGGACCCCCGCACACAGCACGTTCTCCGTGATCGTATTGGTCATGTGACGGACGCACAGGTCTCGCTCCACCAACGGGATATTGATGATGTTGAGCGCGGAGCTGAAGGTGCTGCTGTTCATCTCCTCCTTCCCCCAGCCGCTCACTACGGTCGCGGTGCCGTTCAGGTGGAGCACTCGCTCGGCCAGGTCGCTGGAAGGAAGGCAGGCGGGGAGGATGAACTCTGAGAAAGGAGCGGGTGTTTCGAGGCGCAGGAGGGCGATGTCGTTGTCGTACGTGCGGGTGTTGTAGTTCGGGTGTTTGAAGTACTCCAACACCTTCAGGTTCACCTCGGTGCCCTCGAACCTGAGCCGCTCGTAGTCTCCTGAGGGGAGGAGTTACAGGTTCATTAAAGGTGAGTAGCAGTTACGTTGAAGGTGATTGACAGCAGTATTTTACTTTTAGTTTCACTGGAAGGTTAAATCTGGTCTTGCTAAACTGAGATAGTTCGTTTTTAAAGGATCTGTAAAAACCCTGTTTTCTATGCAGGCCTCCTCACTGTAGTAGATCTCAAAGGTAATGTCCTTAAACCTCTCGCTTGGTGTGTCCTGCACGTTTCTTCAGATACCTGCTGAGGCACATTCAGTAATAACGTTTAGATCCTCTCACCGAGTCTCACTTTGAAGCGCAGGCTGTTGTCGAGGCAATGCGCCGCCGTCAGCACCCAACTC